TAAAATATGTAAACAAACAGTTTGTACTTCCATGGGCACACCATAACACTAATGCTGTTTGTCTTGTCTTACAAAAATTAAAGTATCTCTTCATATGATTTTGCTTTAAGTTCCTTAGTATTTAAAGATTCATTTTATTCCTTAGGCTAATATGATCGTGTCTCTTTTGAAGTTCTGCATTTTAAAATGAGGAAGATTAGTTTTCTGCTAATCCTGAAATACAAATAATATCTTAATCCATATCTTCCAGTCTATGAAGCTAACTTAAAATTTTATAATGAGTATTAATGTAATCTCAATAATTTGGAACATTTCCATCACCATTGTAACTTTAAAAAGTCTATATTTTTACATTATGCAGTTAACAAAATACTCAGTCTGCCCTCTCACTCCCAAAAACCTTGAAAAAAAAATCTAAAAATCTGTTAGCCCGATCATTGTCTCTCCCAGTGCCATAAATTTATAAATGGTTCATATACAAGAGTTGCCATTTAGACCACCTGTTAAACTGTGGGGCACTGACAGTGCTACACAACACTGTTTAGCTAATCTCTCATTTGCACAAAAATATAAAAATCTATTTGAAAAGGTTGATGTTTTCTATGGGGTAAATTCCATGAGGAAATTTCAGATATCGAAAATGTCAGATCTCAGATATGATAACCTTCATCTTAGAGATAAACAGTGACTGATTTGATACTGATAAGTACCAAGGTAGCGTGCAAGTTGTTTGCTGCTGCTTGCTCCTTCCTCTCCGAGTACAGAAATATCATTTCTCCCCAACTTCTTCTGGCAAATGTAAGGGAACCTCCCATCTCCAATCCTGGGCCGTAGAACCTGGCAGAGCCCTGCAACATCTTTTCTTCCCCAAGAATCCTGCTACCCTCCAGGTAAAAAGAAGGGAACCTATTCCTTCCTGCAGGCCAGCCCACAGCTGTCTCTCCAGCTTCGGCACCTGGCACAACGTGGAAACAGCTGGGGAGAGTCACTAGGTTTGCTCAACACCTGAGATCTTGGAGTAAAAAAGAAACACAATTCTGTTGGAAAGAAAGGTTATTTTAAACGGTTGCCAAATTCATGGATATCTTACAGGAGGTGCCAGACCTGACTGGTTTCACTAATATACTCCTGAAATGTAGCCAAAAGTACCACAAGTTCCCAGGTGAGGAGCTGAAGGAGGAATACTGTAACTAGCACAGTCGCTTAGTGGGCGACTGCTCTGGCATAGGACAGTGCATAAATCACACCAGTACAGGGAACCAAAACTGAGCAGCATGAGAGCTTAAAGGATTAAAGACTTATCCTGGAGATTGGAATTATTCCTGGTGCAGTTGCTAGCCCCAATTCACCGCTTAACATCTTAAAACGGGCAATAATCAGCGCTCAGGGGAAGGCAGCACAAGCAGTGTGCTCAGCTCCAACCATTTCCCCTCAACCTTTTTTTTTTCCTCCTTCCTCAATTCCCTATGACCAGCCTCAAAAGCCCAGGTCTTAACGCAGAGCTTTCCTTTCTGAAGGTGAAAGGAGCTCTGTGGGACTTGCTGCCTAGTGCAGAAGATAAATACAATTCCTCACCTGCTGTGAGGCAGTGGGTCCTGACAGAGCCTTGTCCCTGATCCATGCTGCTATGAGAAATACAGAAGTAGGTGGGGATATTCAGGGTATATTCACTGCAGGAGAGTATCAACTTGCAGGTTTCCTGCAGCCCAGGTCCCCTAACTACCCACACTGCAGGCAAGAGAGCCTGTTTCACAGTGACAATCTTGTCTTAGTAGTTGGCAAACTCATCTTACCACCCTTTAACTTCACCTGAAACCAGTTTAACTAACAATGCTGAAGAAACGCAGCTGATGCTGGAAACTGCTTCCTGGGACTTGCTGTAATCCTAGCACCATCACCCCTGCCTGCAAGCAGATTTATGTCCACTATAGGAAGTAACTGTAAAGAAAGTCATGTGGAAGGCCTTATCTAACCACGGCAAACGAGTGACGGTTTCTGTCCATCTCAGCTCTTCAGTGTAGAGGATTCTGTGTGGCTACCTGATGCTCCCCACTTCTAGTAAAAAAGAAAAGATGCTTATGTGTTCCTCCCACCCTATTCCTACTTTTTTTCATGTGCAAAATGCACTCCTTCCCCCAAAAACGTAATATTTAAGAGGCACTATTTTAATAAACACCATGAAATCTGAAACAGGCTCTCCTGAGTGGATCTCACTGTTATAAACATCAATAAACCACTTCCTTTTATTTACATCTACTCCAGCCCCTGGAGATGCCTCACACACCTACACGGGTATTGCGGGTCTCTCCTCCCTGACCGCTCGTGGGCCTATGGGGAGACTTGGCAACAGCAACGAGCTCCATGTGCCGCGCCAGAGGCTGGGAAGGCTGAAGGTGGGATGAGGAGCCAGACCACAGAAGCAGCTGCTTCCCAGTGGAGCAATTCCAACATGGCTGCTGCTTCCCAGGAAGGAGGGGAAACTGAGCAGGGCAAGCAGTCAGAGGGGAATTTCCCTGTGCACTCAGTTTTCTTCAGAAATGCATGAAGAGATACACAAATATGCTGTCTACAGGCACAATTCGCAGGACCTGGCAAGTTTGCTTTATATAAGAAACAACTGTCTCCTAAATTATAGTGACAAGCTAACAGTGATATAAAACACTGGTGTTGTTCAGGCTTTATGGATGTGTTGTGCTTGCAGGTTCATCTTTTATACAGTCTTACTGAACTGTGAATTGCATTTACTTTATCAGGCATTCAAAAATGTTTGCACCTACAAAAGATTTTATTTTCTAACTTTGTATCTGAAACAGCTATTAAGGCATCTTATTCATTTTTTAAGATGTGCATACAATATATTCAAGCTTTGAAGACACTCAAGTCCCCGCAAATTTGTGCTTCTATATAAATACATTTGTAGATGCTTAAATATCACAGTTGTACATATATTTTCTCTTATGTTGCACGTGTCATGAACACTTGCCTACATGAACAACAAGAATGCCAAAAAATCTGCTAAGTCTGGCCAGAACTGCAGTATTTATACTTGAATTAAAATTAATTCCATGTGCAAGTTAAAGTAGCACTCCATCAATAAAGCATTTCAACCACTGTCTGTGGTATGGCACTGAGGCATCTCTTTTCAGTTTTATCTGACACTAGGGATTTCTTGCTTTACGTAGCTAAGAATCACTAGTGAAGTATTACATCTTTAAGCCCTTCTTTGTTCACTTATATCTAATTTAGAAAACTATAGAAAGACTCCGTGTACATGCATACATAAACTTGCATTTGAATTTTCATAACAAACTACACTTTACATGATTGATTTTTGTATTATAAACTCTTCAGGTACTCACAATTTGATCAAATTTTCTCATTCTAGTTCTAAGCCCTTAAATCATTTTGACATCCTGCTTTTTGACAGCCTAAACAAAGTATACTAATTTCTAAAATAGAGAAGCATTAAAAAAGTATTTTCCATTTACCATTCTCACACTTCATTCTAAATAGTCTCATGTAATTTTAGACATATTTCCATACTGAAGCATGTTCATTACTAAAATCTAAACATAGCCTTATTAAGGATCTACGTAGGAGAGATGACTTGAGAATTATATAATTAGCACCGAAGAGCCTTATCTGTAAAGAGGTTGGTCCATACATAGGACATTGACAAGATTTCCAAGATTTCTGGGAGTTCATCAACAGTAATGAATTCCAAGTAGCCTCTCTAGGAGAATCTCAAGTCTTTACCAAGAAGCTCAACTCTTAGGAAAGTGAAGGTAGAGGCGGTCCACAAAACAGAGTCAGGCCATCAGCAGACTGAAAGTTTTGAAAACAGCATCTTGGACTGTAATTCCATGCAAATGGAAGCATTTGTATCATGCAAAGTGTGCAAGTAAGGTGCTTAGTATTAGAACAACAGCCGAGCAAGTAAAATGCTGAATATTACACTACATTAAACTTGCAAAGGGGTCTTCTCGCACAGCACTAATCCTGAAATGTCAAGGCATAATGAACCATAGAGAGATTTATATTATGAACGCATTTTTATTTCTCTTTGACTACGAACACTGCCACAGGTCTCATATATGCTAATTGAGAAACAGCACTGAGAGTGGATTAAAATTGTTTAACAGATAGGAGGAGTTATTCCACTACAACGGTTAAAGGACAGGAAGGAGCCAAAACTTTGCTTACATCTCACTAGCATTTCTGCTGCATCTAATGCCAGCGCAGTCACTGTATCCCTGCGATGTGCATACTGTGTACTAATAAATAAATAAATAATAATCCAGTGCTTTTCTTAGTAACTTATGTAACTTAAATTCCAATACAAACCTGTAAAGGAATTTCCCCCGAGGGAAAAACATAACAAGTTTTAAAGTTTTCCAGTTTAGAGTCTTTTTTTTGAAGTATGTCAGACATACAGAATTATAAACATCTATATTTGTATGGTCCAAGAGATTTTCAACACGTCTGTGTAAAAAACTTTTTCTGTTGTTTTAGAGGCTGCCTATTTATCATACATTTTCTTGTCCACTAGCAGCATCTATCCAGACACAAGACCACATTAGAATTATTTCAGTCATGTATTAATCATAGTTGATGAAAGACTTTAGGCAAGTATTCAGTTTTAATAAAAACTCTTGAAAGTTATTATCCACATAAAGAAATATGTTGGAAAAATTCCCCCAAAAAGTAAAACAGAAACCTAATAATTTATGCAGAAATTATACCATTTTTAGTTTTAAATAACACTGAACACATGGCTTAATCTAAAGATCTCTATAAGCCAAAAATAGCAGATAAAAAATTCAGGAAAAAAAGAGTGCATGATAGGAAAGTCCACAATTCCAGCGTTTGAACATATTACATAGCAGGGCTATAGAAAAATATTTTGAAGGGTAAAAGGGATGAGAAGTTTGTTTGCTGTCCTAGAATGTAGAGGGGCAAGAGAGGCAATTTTATAACATTTATCAAAGTACTCAATTTACCTTTAAATACTTCACAAGTTTCTGAATTTGCCAGTATTCTGATGGTAAATCAATGTTTCCTTCCTGGCGACGTTCAGGCTGCTCTTCATCTTCCTCAGTCTCTGAGGAACTTTCACTAATTTCATCCTTTTCGGAGGTTTTACTAAAAGTAAATAAAGAGCATCACTCCCTTTACAAGATATAAGCCAATACAAAGAAGTACATCTTACATCTAAAACTAATATGGCATTGTCTCCTCATAGTAACATTAGAAAAATACTAGTAAACAACATTAGAAAAATACTAATAATTATCATTAGGTATGGTGACAATTATTGTAGGTATTGATAATAAAGAAATTGAATCAAAATTAAAAAAAAAAACATACCATTTTGCAGCAGATTCAGGAGAACTGCTGGTGGTTCTCTTTTTGATTTTTTTAGACACAGTACTTCTTTCTTCTTCAGTATCTTTTTTTTTAACTTTGTCACTGAAATATTTGCTAAAAAAATGTTATTCTATATATATAGCGAAAATATTCTGGTTGCACACACATTGTATCATTATATAAGAGCTTATGAACCAACAATGAACTTAATTAAAAGGAAAGTATGCTGTGTCTGAAGTATCTATTTTTGCTGTATTAAAATTAGTGGACTATTATAAGACATATATTATCTGATCTGTATGCAATATAAGAACAAAGAACGAGTGTATGAAGTCTGATTGTCACTAGTCCATCTATCCTGGGATAGCATTTCCCACCATGTCCCACTGCAATAGTTTTCTAAGGAAGTTGTCTAAGGAAGAGTTGGAAGAATGGAAGAATATAATATTTTTTCTATGATGACTCTATGCTTTTTCTTCCAGAATATTCTGGCAGGGAAACTGTGGTTCAGGGACCTCCTGAGTGACCTTGCATTACCAGTTTTAGATGGATTTTTCTCCCCTGAATTTGTAAAGTTGCTTTTTGAATTCACATCGCCATCCTGTGACCCACAGTTATGTGCTGCGTGAGGCAGGTCCCTTTGTTCTGAACCCCATCTGCTCATTTCATTTGATGCACCTTGCTCTTGTACTAGAAGAGACAGTGAACAACTGTCTTCTAGTCATTCTCTAGTCATTATTTCTTATCTCTATTTTATCTTCTCCCAGTCATCTTTTTTTCCAAGCAGAAAAGTTCTAATCTGTCCATTGAACAGTTCCATACTTTTCATCTTGCTCTATTTAAATTCCAAGAGGATTCCCAGTCACAGCTGGGGACAATCTCTGGTGGCATCTTTTTGTTAATTCGAATGTTTTGAAAATTAAATCTCCTTCTTAGCCTGGGCTAGTCATACTATTCCAACCACAAGAGTAAAGGAGAAGAATACTCATTACTTGTGTATAACTTTATGATCAATATCTTAAATAATATCTGTGATTAATATATTAATATTTGTGTATAACATTACAATTAGACCCAATTCTACTACTTCTAGGCTACTACATCTAACCAAGTCCTGGAAGAAGAAAAGATCTTGTCCTTGGACACCATATTTTTGTATCCGACTCTAGGTTACTTCCAAAAGCTCTTAAAATGTCTCTTGCAACATTCCCAAATGTTTCAAATATTGAGATAGTCTCATTAGTGAAAACTGTTTCAAGTTAAGCAAAATTAGAAAGATGGCTCATAGGACTTTGAAACACTAAAAAATGATACCCTATTGTCACCCTATTGAAACACTAAGAATTGATACCCTAATTGTCACCCTACTTTTCCATCCTGGATCTCTTGCCTTCCTCATAAAATGTTGTGTTGTTTAAACAAGACTGTCTATTCTTTGTTGCCTTAAAATGCACTTATATTAATAATGTGACAATATGAGTGTACTCGAGGATCAGGTACTGCAGATTGTAAAATATTACCCTGCTTTGTTTTGCTGCTGAAATGACCCAAAATAGCAAAAGTTGTTGCAAGACAGAAGACAACAGTGAGAAAATAATTTGCTAGTCAATACTCTTTAAAATTTGTATGTAGTAGACTTTGTTTTATTGCTGTTAAGATAATACACCTATGACATGCTTACCAATCACTAATATAGGCTAGAGAAATTATAGCCAACTACCTGTAGGTAACAGATCTCACGATATTCTTCCACTTCAGAGATGGTTCTAGTTTTTTGCTGTCAGCAGACTTGCTTTTTGCAGAAGAACTTTTTGTCTTCTCATATACATTTTTTTCTGTATAATTAAAAGGCTTCTGGGATTGGCTGGAGTCCTCAGCATCAACTGCTTCCACATGCTGATAATACTTCGCAGATGCAGTTTCTTTAAAAAAGTTATATTCCTAATAAAAGAAAGAGATATAATTTGTCAATCACAGTGCTGTATGAATAATACATATTAAAATAATAAGCTATACAAAAATGTCCAGGATGTAGTCCTTACAATTGTATGTATTAGATACAGAAATAAATTTTAGGTATAAAATAAGATTGCCTTTAAAAAGAATAAAACATTCAGATTATTCTGAAAATTTCTATAGTGAAAAATAGCTGTTGCAATATGCAAAATAAAATGTTTTAGAAATAAAAGAATGAGATTTAAAAACGATATTTCTCTGCACAAATAATTTATATTTTTATAAAATTTCCACAAAAATTTATGAACATAAAATTGAAAATAAGGTATGATAAACTGCTGTACTTTATTTCCAAGTAGTTTAATTTGATATAGTTTTATATTAATAAAAACACATTCAATTTCTGCTTTTTCATCTTTTGTCTCTCTGCAGAAGTCATTTGGTGATCCACTTTTGTACAAGAATGGATTTGAGTACCCCTCCCAAACCTTCCACTTTCTCTCTCTGGTACCAGGGCTGATCAAAAGTATCCAGAAGCGAACAGCCTCTTGCCAACTTTTGTTTTCCATCAGAATGTATTCAATTTTTACAGGAAAGATATCTCATGATCATTACTTCTCATTATTATTATTGTGGCTGTCACTACCAGGTAGGTGAAGACATTCCCTTACATTTCAGATTCAAGGCAGTTTTAAGGAGACTGTCACAGTACGGTCTGTCTTTGATTAGTCTGTGATGAGAATCAGCTGTTCCATGCTTGTTGATCCAATCGTCTAATCATAAACTAACTCATGCTAATTTTCTAAATCTGAAAATGTAGTCTAGACAATACAATTTAATACATGCTAAACCAGTCACATTGCTGGGGAGTTGGTGCTGTAGCTTGATCAGCTTAACACGTGTTAAAGCATATGTCTGTCCTACAGCTACTCTACAGCAACTCAGCAATTCTAAATGTTACCTTAAACAAGGTCAATAAAATATTGTAAAAGTTAACTAGTTGTGTTATATAGATAATACAGTAATATACATATACAGTTATGTAGATATCCAGTAATGAGTTCCTCCCAAATCAAAAATATCTCCAGTCATAATTCATTTAATGTAGGAAAACTTGGAAGGACAGTTAAAAAAAAACAAGTTAACATTTTTTGGAACTTCTGAATTAGATGTGATTTATCACACTGCAGAAATGATGGGAATATTCACTTAGGCAAAAGCAAAGGCAAATTTATTTTTATACACATATATATAAACTATCAGTTAACTAATATCTCTTATATAAAGACGAAATTCTGAAAACCTAAATGTACATCACCTGCAATTACTATCTTGTTACATTCTCTGTTATCTCAGCTTTTCAGAGCTCCTGAAAGGAGATGCTTTTCCTCCAAATACAAATACACTAAGGCTCTATAGTATAAATTTTCTCATATTGTATGCTTAGAATGTAAAACCTACTAAATAAGCTCTTATACATGTCAATATGATATTCTTAATCCATTAGAATGATATAATTTAAGCTTTTCCGTATAAACTTCTTAGAAGTCAGAGAACACAGAACAAGTAGTTCATATGGCAGTTATAAGAAAACAAGCCAAGTCCCATTTATTTATTCTTAAGAATAAATATTTCTTTAATAGCAGAGCATAATGACAATGAAGGCATATACTTTATTTAACATTGCATTAACTTTTAGAATTAGGACTGTAAAATCATTTTAAATGTATATATCTTAGCTATCTATATAATATACATACTTATCTTTCAAAATCACCAAATGAAGCAAAGCCAAGAGACATTTAAACAGTAAATATGGCTAAGAGCTATCATACACTATCATATTTATGAAATTTAAACAATATGTAGATAGACTTTAAATAAATATTGTGTATGGGATAAGCAAAACACAGTTTAGAACATACTACATTATTTTCAAATAGAACAACCTAGACGTTTAGCTACTGTATTTATGTGTGCAGCTTGAAAGGCTTTGTTCTTTCAGAACTTACACACATCTGTATTTCCAAAAAAGTAAACATCAGCCCTACATCCCAGAAAATCAGACAAAAAGCAAAGGGCATTTTCTATTTATTATTTCCTCTTTGCAATAATTAATGTTGCATATAAATAATCACAACTTAAACTTTTGGCAGCCTGTAATGAATATTACCACCAAGTTACAAACCTGTTATAATCACATTATAAATCTGAAGAAAGAATTTTTAACATGAATGATAGAACAACTGTCGTGAAACTACAAGATCTTGTTGCAACAGACGAAGTATGATGCTCCTTGCTCTAGATAATGTAGACTTCTAATTAAAAGTCAGACACTTGCATTTTACCTTGGCTGGAGCCTGGCCGCAACCCCTGCTATGTGAGCTGAAAGCATACCTATCAGCTCTGACATTTAAAGCCAAAAATAAAAAAGAAAGTGTAGCTTTTATTTATATTTGGGCCACAAAGAATGAAGACAAAGTTTAAGTGGTTTTGATTACAGAAAGATATTATCATAAAAGGTTGACCTTTTCCATGAGGTCCAACATTTTAACATTTCTAGTGCTCCATAAAGAATAATATCAGATGAAAAGAACTTTTTATGCAAAATTAGAAGCTGATCTCACATATTGGTTGAAGCCTTATATTACTCAATGATAGAATTATATGTTTTCAAATACAATGAATACTGTAAAAACCCAATTTTTATCATCCCTAAATGTAAACAATAATGAAAGACATTAAAATTCATAACTGTTATAAAGCTCAATTTTAACAGCTGTATATTAAGCATTCTTATCCTCTGCTTTCTCTTTTACATAGAAACTTTTATATACATATAACAATACTTCATCCCTATATTCATTTTTTTTTGTCTTTGGACATAGTCTTGCAAAAATACACTAAGCTTAGATCCAAATGAATCCAAATCACCAGTACTCAGTTGTATAAGGCTTTGGGATACACCGTTTTCCAGCTAAGCTCTTTCCTGGAGTAGAGTTCATTCATGCTGTACAGTCATGGATCAGGGGTACAAGCCCTCTCCATGAATAACTTTGACATTCTAGACAGTTCCAGGGATCTCTGGGCTTTTTAAAGTAGAACTAGGACTCTCAGTGCGTGCCTTTTTTTCCCCTCTTAACTCCATATAGGTTTTTTTTGGGGGGGGTAAAAATGGGAAATCTGTTGTTATTTCCAGAAAAAAAAATAACCTTGTTATTTTCAGAGGAACAAAAGCTGAGAAAAGTTGTGGTTTTTTTTTAAACACAAACGAATGTGTTCAGAATACACAGTAGCATGGTGGGATATTATAAAAACAGCATAACAGCTGTTAGTTGCTAAGGTTTGTATCTATAGTCTCTTGTTATTTTCAGAGGAACAAAAGCTGGGAAAAGTTGTGTTTTTTTTAAACACAAACAAATGTGTTCGGAATACATGGTAGCATGGTGGGATATTATAAAACAGTGTAACAGCTGTTAGTTGCTAAGGTATCTATAGTCTCTATACATTATAATCACATTATAAATCTGAAGAAAGAATTTTTAACATGAATGATAGAACAACTGTCGTGAAACTACAAGATCTTGTTGCAACAGACGAAGTATGATGCTCCTTGCTCTAGATAATGTAGACTTCTAATTAAAAGTCAGACACTTGCATTTTACCTTGGCTGGAGCCTGGCCGCAACCCCTGCTATGTGAGCTGAAAGCATACCTATCAGCTCTGACATTTAAAGCCAAAAATAAAAAAGAAAGTGTAGCTTTTATTTATATTTGGGGCACAAAGAATGAAGACAAAGTTTAAGTGGTTTTGATTACAGAAAGATATTATCATAAAAGGTTGACCTTTTCCATGAGGTCCAACATTTTAACATTTCTAGTGCTCCATAAAGAATAATATCAGATGAAAAGAACTTTTTATGCAAAATTAGAAGCTGATCTCACATATTGGTTGAAGCCTCATATTACTCAATGATAGGATTATATGTTTTCAAATACAATGAATACTGTAAAAACCCAAATTTAAACAATAATGAATGACATTAAAATTCTTAACTGTTACAAAGCTCAATTTTAACAGCTGTATATTAAGCATTCTTATCCTCTGCGTTCTCTTTTACATAGAAACTTTCATATACATACAACAATACTTCATCCCTATGTTCATTTTTCTTTTTTGCCTTTGGACATAGTCTTGCAAAAATACACTAAGCTTAGATCCAAATGAATCCAAATCACCAGTACTCAGTTGTATAAGGCTTTGGGATACACCGTTTTCCAGCTAAGCTCTTTCCTGGAGTAGAGTTCATTCATGCTGTACAGTCATGGATCAGGGGTACAAGCCCTCTCCATGAATAACTTTGACATTCTAGACAGTTCCAGGGATCTCTGGGCTTTTTAAAGTAGAACTAGGACTCTCAGTGCGTGCCTTTTTTTCCCCTCTTAACTCCATATAGGTTTTTTTTGGGGGGGGTAAAAATGGGAAATCTGTTGTTATTTCCAGAAAAAAAAATAACCTTGTTATTTTCAGAGGAACAAAAGCTGGGAAAAGTTGTGTTTTTTTTAAACACAAACAAATGTGTTCGGAATACATGGTAGCATGGTGGGATATTATAAAACAGTGTAACAGCTGTTAGTTGCTAAGGTATCTATAGTCTCTATACCTACAGTGGTGAGGGAAGCTTCAATGAAGCCCAAACTAACCTCACTCAAGGTTTAGACATGCCACCAAATAAAGTCTTTGATGGCAGTTCTTCTCATTGTGCAACTATCTGAACTTAAACAGACCACTACTGCACTTGCAATTACAATTATGTTATAATTAACAGGAAGACAAGCTGGTTACAAGGTTCTCTTGGAAGGACCAGAATCACTACTTTGAGCTCAAGCTGCCTTTAGAACTAAGCTGGTGTCTGCATCCTGTTTACAGATATCCTAAAACCTGGTGATATAGATAACTAATTCAGTAAGTGCATCAATCTAACACAGTCCTGTCCGGATATCCAAGATACAGTGGTACCACCTGCCATTTGTGCAAACTCTTCATAGTTTTGTTTCAGCAAAATGTTACCAATTTGTACTGGAAAATATCTTGGGAAACTCATCAGTTGCATCATACACAATAGGATGAAGCTTATAGCTGGAAAAAACTGATTAAAACTGGTCTTTCAGAGACACCTAACTATAAAACCTGCATCTTCAATGCGAGCCGATCAAAACTTGAACAGAAAAATTTTCCAGGGACACTTTATACAGTAAAATTAAAGAAAGCAAATGAATTAAAAACTCAAAACATTTCAAAGTCTTAAAATGCATCTAAAATCATTGGGAAGAGTTCTTTGAAAATGACATAGTATGAACACTGTAAAAATACTTGTAAATTTATTGATTCATTTATAGAGAATAATTTCCTTTTATGCCACAACCTAACTACAGTAGGAATATATTAAGAAGAAAATGTTAAGTAAATCAAAAGAACAATGAGAAAGATATTTTAAGTTCCTTGAAATTCTTCATTTAATCACAAATTCAATTTTGATGAAGAGTATAGTCAACCATGTTTTACTACTCTTTTATACTAACATAATTCTAACATTTCTGCAAATACCTTATATAATGTAATTTTTACCAAACTATACTGTACATTGGTTCAAAGTAGAATACATATATCCAATATCCATAAATACATACCTGTTTAGACATATTTTCTACAAATTTTGCTGATTTTTCCCTTAAAAATGTGACAATATCTTTATATATGTCACTTTTTCTTTCATAATCGATATCATCTTTCTCCTTTAGCTTACCCTTAAAAAAGAATAAATTTAAAATTATTAATAGTGTTGCCTTATGCAGGATATTTAATCTGCTAAGAAGCACAGGTGTCATAACATAATGAATTATATGCAGAAGCCTCACGCCCAGCACAGATTACATCAGACTTCAATATTGTTTAGTGAAAATGCATGGATCACTTCCATAGGTCCCAGTGGCTAATCAAGGCCTTATATACAAGCCTGCAAGTAATTACTACCAGTTAAAGTGCACTGTATCATGGGTTGTTCTGCTGAGAGTTATTTAGGGTTGACAGCAAATAACCAACTAAATATGAAGCTTCTAGTGCAGTATGGCGAGAATCCAAAAAGATCAGAAAATAATGGTTTATGAACGAGCTTTTATGAACTTCATCCATTAAAAACATTCTAAGTCAAAACTTCCCTGGGTTTTTTAACTCTTAGGAAGAGCAATCTATAGAGTGACACTTCAATGGACATCTGTCCCTCTTCAAAACAGGTGTAAGAGCTTTAGTCACTGCTTAAATGTATTGGGAGATTATTACACCTAAATAAAGCCTATCTTTAAAGAAAGAGATAACCAAAATGAAAAGCAGAAGAAAAGAGATAAGCAATATCTAAAAACCTTCTAATGAGAGCAGAAATAATTGCTTATTAAAAAAAATGACAAAAGGAAGCTGTATTTTTTACAGACAGTACTATTATACCTCAGATCAAGAGTAATGAGGAACTACTGAGGTACCTAGTCCAATAGTGCCTTCCATATAGGAATAGTGTTATTCCTATATACCTCTTATGGAACTCTCAAAGACTAAGTGAAGACTGCTGGTAAAATGTGCAGAATACACCCCCTGTATAACACTTAAAGAACAAACACTCAAATATATATATACAAAAACAGTATACATTTATTACTGTGTCTTTTTCTTCAGTACCAATAAACCAACTCTGCAGCTCTAAGAGGTTCAATACCACCCTAAGCCCCAGATCTGCTGGAGTTTTGATTTTAATATATGAAAGTGTTTGTTGCTTCAAGATGTCCTTTATTATTACTTACTCCATTTAAATACACTCCTGCTGTGCTGCAGGTGATACACAAAGGATCAGTATCATGTGGTTTGATGATTAAATAACAAATTTCTCCATGCATTTGTCTCCAGGGAGGAGCTCGGCATCCATTAGAGAATGTGTAATCTGTAACCAATTAGCAACAGTGTTTCTATCAGATTTAAATATGCATTTTTAATAGTTATGGCTGATGTTAATATAACATGTATACAAATCAAGGTCCCAAACCAGTATGTTACTCTTGAGAAATTATACTCAGTTTGGAATTAATCATGTGAAATGCTAAGAAATGTTGGCTGATCTAACAAAGAATTGCAACACATGCTCAGCACTTTTTAGGGTCAAGGACTCCGTTTACTTCCAGTGAAGTCAGTCATATGATTAGGGATTATTACTATAAATGAAGCCTGAAGAATAACATTTCATATCTGAACATAAATTTTATTCTACTTTATAACTTTAAAGTGAAAATAAACAGTTTTAATTGACTAGTAAATTTATTTTAGCAAATTCATACAGAAGTCACGAGTATATATGTGTGACATATGATAATTCAAAAGCAAAACAAAAGCAAAATGTAAATTTTGAACCTGATGTATATTCCAGTGATTCCAGTACTGTATCTTCTCCTTTCCCAGAGAAATGCTTGAGAAGATTCACCTCATTATTTACAGCATCTGGACTGAGTCTTACCTCTCTGCAATTAATAGAAAATGGTCTAAAATCTATTCATCAAAAACATGCACTTAGAGAAATCAAGATAGAATATAACAGGATTTTTGTCTTGCAAAATGAGTCAATAAAAATCTAGAAATTGACTAAATTCTTTTTTTTTTCATTTTATTTGTTAATCAAATCTTAGTTATGCTAATATGAAATTCTCTTATCTACAGATCAGATTGAATGGAATACTTAGCATGTTTCCAAGAAAAAATAAACATCTCCCTGAAAATAATTTTACTGTTAATGTGTTATTTTACGATTTATTAAATTTGCTACTGAAATGTAAAACATATGCAAAAAAAGCCCAATCACGCTCATGGGCACACACACACATATGCACACCCATACGCACATATGCAAGGTGTCTGTAAAACATTTTTTTCACTAACTTAATGAATAGCAAAAGTTGTTTCAGTAACTTTACCTTTGTATCACACCTAAAGCACATATTATGAGTTGAATCGAATCTAATTTAATTTAAAAAAAACACTTGGTGACAAGCCTAGGTTTCCATTTGAAATGTACTTACTGTGAAATGTGTTTTAAAGAACTATTAAGCAGTTGCATATCCAGCTGATTAAGAAGTATAAAGATTTTCATTTTAATCTCTGTTTCAGGGTCATCATCTTTTTTCACTTTGTCAAGTAAATGCAACATGGACATATCTTCTCCTTCAACAGTCCCATATCCAGGGCCAAGGATATTCACTATAGGATCCCTATTAGCTATAGAAAAAATGAAACAGCAGCAATATAATGTGAAAAATCATTACAAGGTTAACATTTTTCTTATTTCAACTGCCAAATAATTTCAACACTGTTAATTTATAATAAGAACTTTAATAATGTGCATGAGTATTCATCAAACATCACTAAATACTACTGCATGATGAAAGTAGTTCATGCCCCTGTGCAGTTTGAAATACACTTGTGTAGTAATAATTTTTAAAAAGATTAAAATATTAAGATTTAAAAACTTTTTGATAATAAATAAATTTGCTTTTTACAACAAGGATTAAGATTCATTCAGCCAAGAGGTGAATATTAAATACACTGTCCTCTACCAATACTGCACTTCCCAGAAAATATCTGTGTCATCACCAAATCAGAAAAGGAATGGGCTTAACTCACTGAAGTAGATTGCTGTGGTTATATGATTTAGTGTTAAAGGACATCTTAAAAGTTTTCTAGCAGCATTCTCAATAGTCCAGTAACTTGCTCAGCTATGCCAGCTGTCCCTTCTGGTATAAGGACATAACTGCATGTTGGTTGGTTTTATACATACATTTTGCCCTGTTCTTGCAAGAGTAGTTCCATGCATCTATGAATGTTTACCTGTGCATATATTTTTTCTCTGCTATTCACAGTTGATCAGTGCCAGGGCACTAGACTAGACAGACCTTAAATTTGATAAGCATTTATGTTTTACTATTACCAATGTACTACTTCCTATTAAAGTTACCACATAATATTACCTGTCTCTTTAATTCCTAATGCAAAGTGGCTATCCCATTTAGTATACCAAAGTCTTTTTGTCACTTTGAAAAGCTAGGCTTTGTGTATGACTCTGAAGTACTGACACACATATTCTAAAAGGCTTTTATAGAGGGCCTGGAGATGTTTGCTCTGAACCCTGCACAGGTAAGAATGTCTTTAGTATACAAGGTTTTCTTTGGCTATTTTTAAGGAATCAATATTTTTAAAAGACTATTTAATTAGAAGTATAGAAAAAATTGTTAACAATTTCCCATGGACAAATTGTTTGACAAAATTGTTAGACATCCTTTTTTTCTGAAAAATATAAGCCTACTCTCTGTTGCAACAGCTGAGGTACTACTTAGTATACTGGAATTTGCACATGAAATTGAAAAGTTGACTTTAAAAGTTAACTTTATTCCAGAATTCTCTGTTACTGATTTCAGTGTAAATAAAAGAAGAAATAGAAATTTAATGAAATTTTGAGTCAGCACTTTCAGCCAGCTTCATGAATCAATGCCTTCTCATATATTTAAAATGAAGGCATGCACACATCTCTTCACATTTCATAAACATGAGTTAAAGGAGAAGCCATATTTTTGGAAAGACAGAAAAGAGAAAAAATAACAAAAACCTTCAAGGCATGCTTGTGCTTCCTTTAACTTTTTTTCCATTGCAATATGTAGCAAATAGGACAGCTGGTCAAAACTGCGAACTTTGATAGTTGATCCTGTGAGGAGGAGCAATGGTTGTCCATCTTTACTTTTGGCTTCAGACTCAACAGTTGTTCCACTAGAAAAATGGGGAAAAAAATAAAAGAACTTTAATAAACAGCAAATTGTAGGGAAGAATCCATCACTAAGAATTTTGTTCAAGCTTCACAACCTTTTTTTTTTTTTAGTGCAGATAGATAACTTATGATGTAAGCCCATAAAAAAATTCACAGCAAACCAGCATGGGCAATTCGTTTGTCCTACCTTGGCAACACCTTTTAAGGGAATTTTAAAGTCTGCATTACAGAGTATTGCTACAGTGTTATTGAAACCATGCCTGAATTTGCCTACTTGTCAAACAAAATTGGTCAAATTCTCCAGCAGCTTCGTAATTTAGGGAAAAATAATTTTCACATCTACAAAAACTTAATTTGGCACTGTTCAAAGAATTACAGAATTACATGGCGTTACTGCAGCCTAAGTCTTAAGCAGCAATGCAAATCCAGGTAAAGACAGACTGAAAAACAAACATAAACCTTCTGATTATCAGTACTTTTTCACTACTAAATCGAAAATAGTAGAAGAACCGTTAGCACATTTGGAAAATAAGACATAGTGGCATAACCAAGTTTTATGACTGAAGCTGTATTAATACATTACAGCAGTCTACTCCTGAAGAACCTTTGGAGAGTTCTGTCCGCAAAGCAACTGTAATTCAAACTTGTGTTTGCAAATACACCTCCATCGCTGCAGTAAAACACTTCTGTCCCATCAGAAGCAACTGCCAACACTGACAGAAAGGATATTAATCACTGCTAGACACATGTAAAAAGTCTCAGGAGCAGCAGTGCAAGCCTGTCCTCTGTGTTTCTGCAATAAATTGCTGATGAAACAGTTTTGTGTCACAACCAAGATGCGATAGCCTCAAACTTTCCAAGAAAGTTATTGTAACTCAATTTTTTCAATGCAAAACAGTTGTAAATCCATCCCCGCCAGCCTCCCAAACACGTAAGGCTTTCCCTGTGCTCGGCGTGCACTGTGGCCCTGGGCTCGCCTCGGAGCGCGCTGCCCTCCACACTTACTCGCCCTGGTAGCCCGCGCCGAAGGCCGAGCCCCCCAGCTGCGTCCTCCACTCGAGGGGCTCTCGGAAGACGAACGCCGCCTCCCGCGGATGCCGGCTGCTGAAGCCCTCCACAAACTTAATGATTTCATTCAGGAGGGATTCGTTCAAGGGGGTGATCTCAAGCGTGCCGCGTCCAGAGCCGGCGGAGGTCCACTGGGCCGCCCTGGCCAGCGCCGCTCCCATGGCTGCCTTGGCAGACACAGAGCATGACCCAGGCATTAATAAAGTTATAGTTATTAGTCATGATTCTTGTAAGGAGGATAAATCCCCGAAGGGGACATTGAAGCCGGGTAGAGGGTGCCCTCCTTCCCCCGGCACCCTCCTTACCCACCCGGGGGGCCTCCAGCCCCTACCTTGCCCCGGTGACC